GCTCTTCCTGCTTGCTGTAGATCAATACTAACCATCAACGCTGGCCTTGCCCCGTTTCCTGCAGAACCTGTCTCCTGAGAAGCTGCTCTATTTCCTCCAGTAGCACCTCCAGCCTCCTGTGGTTTGTTTTCTTGTTTTCGCTTCTTCAGAGGCTTATCTGCAAGTTAAAAGAGAAAAATCACAAATTATATATATAGACTAGTCAATGTCCAAGCAAGAATGTCTATTCCCCTCCACTGCCACCGATTAATCGTCCTCAGCATGTATGTGGACACACAACAAAATCCACTGAATTTAAAAGCAAGATTAATACTTCTCTAGCTAATACTTTTTAATGTTGTCAGACTATCATTCATTGTCACTCTACCACAGGTGCCAATTAATCATTAAGAAAACCCACCCTCAAAACCTATGAAATCAAAGACCCGTATAATTTCCAAGAGAAACACCTAATAAAGCAGCTGCAATACATAAAGACAAAAAAAAAAAATTAAAACCCTCAAACTAATCAATTACACTTGAAGCAAAAGTCTGCAAAGACATAGTTAAGGTGCACCTCCACAACTACTTTTTGAGGAATACTGTTATAAAAGATTGTCTTCTGCAGATTCAGCCTACTTCATTATACAGGAAGTAAGCAAGGATCTGCAACGATTAAGACAGAGGTTCTCCCTGCTTGGTTCAGTGCATCAGATGGACTTCACACACATTTTAGCCAGGGAACACATGAACAATGAACAAAAATGATTACAGTAACTCCAACACTCCATGCTTCTCTTTGAAGCAAAGTGGTATACCAAGAGTTGGAGTCTACACCATAAAACACACGTAGTAGGTGGGGGGCCACTGCACACTTAAAAGCTTTAGTATTTTCCCTTTGCAACCATAATGCTTTTCATGGATGAAATAAAAAGTGCAGTTCTACTTTTATGTAGTTCAAGAGCTTGACTCTGCAATAAGCCTTTCAGTTTATACTAAAAAATCATTAAGAGTAGAATACAGAAAAATAAAGTGAGTCAACCGCACACCCTGTAATTTGGTAGAATTCATAGAAATAAGTAGCACATGGAAGTATCCAAAAGAGTATGTTCTATTCATTTAAACTACAATCTATTTACATTACCGACATGGTAAAATTAATTTCTGTCACGAAAACCAAAAGCCCTACCTGCACTAAGGCTTATATTCTGATTTCTCAACTATCATTGTACAATTTGTCAAAAAAACAATGACTTCCTCTGTAATCAGGAAATATGACTTTAAGTCTAAGGAATGACTAAACATAGGTTGTCCTAGATCTACCATCAAAATGTCTAGACCACAAATGCAATGTAAGAAAAAATCATTTATTTTGTGCCTAGATTTGTGGTGCCTTATCACTAGATGCAATGAGCCAGGTCTTTTTTCGGGAGCAGGAAAATGAATGGTAAGGAGGATGCAATCATGGATTAGGAAAACAAACTCCACAAACAAAAAAACCCAACATCCACCGTCTCAAATTGCAAACCAGAATTATTATATATGACTTCTAATTTCCTCTATATTTGTAGAAGATTATTATTTAGAAGAATTAAAACTTTGAAGGATCATCTCCAAAATTAACATTGGAACACAATAACAAGTAGTAACATGGCCCATTCCAGTGATGTGAACAGGCTTTTTTTCCCCATCATTTTCATCCTCAAATCTACTTGTACATCTCTAACTTCCTAAAACTCCAAAATTATGCAATACTTAATGGCTTGAAGACAGTAAAGACAGATACAATAAAGTCCATGCAGAAATTGGTCAACTGAAAATAAGGAACTTTTCAAAGTTCAATAAAAATCTGTAGGAACACCTGCAAACTTCATGGGAGACATGCCAAACAAAATAAATTGGCCAGAAGTGCAGTTTTTTAGCATGGAGATTTTTGCTTTTTCTGTACTACAGCAACTGTTGGAT